CCAGGTATTGGTGGGTCTTCAGGTTCTCTGCCCTTGATGACAGTAGAAGCAAAGGGGTTTCCCAGTCACCAGTCTCTCCTGGGCTAAGGTAGAGCTACATGTTGTGGCATCTCCAGCTTATGCTGGTGATGTGACACTTTTAAATCCATGGTGATTTGGGCATAGCAAAGCACTGGGTTGCTGTTGCTTATATAGCAGCTAAAAATGCCATCAAGATGAGCTATTCTTCTTATGCCAAGGGTGAATAACTGGGACAGAAAGGTGTCAGAGCTGATTCTCATCCTGGTTTTTGACTAGCAGATTGTAGGAATGGCTGTCTCTGCCCACCTCACTGTGCTTGTGCCACGTGTAGGGCCTGAAGCAGACAAGAAGTGCTCTCCCAGCACTCCCTGGTACCTTGCCTGATCTGCTAAGACACAGCTAATAAGCAAAACAGCAACAAAATGGAACCCTGAAATAAAAGGCCTTTTAAGATTTTTAAACTTTCCTCAGATTATTATTAAGAACTTTGTGCTGATACTGTGACAGTGTTGAATGGGGCTTATCAAGGCGGAGTCATAGCCAGTCTTTGTCCAGCAAGTTAATAAGGTGACAAAAGTCCTTTGAATAGCACTGAAGTCTTTGAAATTGTTCAGAAGTCCTTTAGATTTATTGAAAGCTAATCAGTATGACATTAACAAAGAACAAAGCAAGCCTAATGAAGATGAAAGATTAGAGAAGTGGGGTTTTTATTTTTATGTTGGCTTTTTTTTTTTTTTTCTGAAATGGTTGCCCTTGTTGATAGGGTAGCAGGCTGTGTGTTAAGAGCCTGATTATCAAACAAAATGGGAACTGTTTGTGTGTTGAAATAGATCCTTTCATTCTTTGTCTTTCAGGGTTTCCTTCATAAATGCAGGTTTTAACCAAGTTGTTCAAATGCTCATTTAGCTGAAATTTGGCAATCTAATTCATTCCCTGATGAGATGTTTTAAATATCCTTTACCTAGTCAACAAAATTTCATTAAAATCAGCATGGGTGATTCTTTTCCCCAAGTGTTCTCTCTCCTTCTTAATTAAGATTGTCCAAAAATAGCCTGTTTGGGTACTTTCTGTGCATTCCTCTGTCTAGGAAAGCAGCATTCATTATAAAGGTGAGATGTCAATCTGCCCACAGTATGGACTAAGATTTATAATTCAGTTGTTGGACTGGATAACTTTTTAGTGAGAAATTGTTCTGCTCAGTAGTGGAACCTCAGGAGATTATGAAGTGTTAAAGTGTTATGTATTGAAAGCGTTAGGCTATAACCTTGACTAGCTTGAATCAGTAGAGATGTCATCAGTAGAGATGACAGAGCCTGGGACTTCTGGCACTCAATCTATCAGGATTAGCAGAGCACTTGCATTCTCTGAGCACCAAATACCAGAAGTAACACACAAACACACATAGGTGAAAGTTTTCTTCCTGCTCTGCACACTCTGCAGGAGGATGATCGCTTTGTAAAGGCATTAGGCAAAAAGTCAGGAATGAGAATCCCTTCCAAATAATTTTAACCAGAAATGGTTAGGGACTTAGTCTATACTTCAGTTTTCCATCTGTAAAAGCTGGCTCCCTTTATGTGTTTGCCACGTAATATGTATACATATATATGGAATATGTATACATAAATATCGTACCTCCCTTGCCAGCATATAGTGATTGCCATTTGCTCAGGTGCTTAGGTTCTGTGGCCTTGTGTTATGGCTTGAGGTATTACAGTGAGTCTTATGAGCATGCCACAACATGAAATGAGCTTCAAGGTGTTTCACAGAATCACAGAATCCTAGGGGTTGGAAGGGACCTCGAAAGATCGCCCAGTCCAACCCCCCTGCCAGAGCAGGGTCACCCAGAGCACATCACACAGGAACGTGTCCAGGTGGGTTTGAATGTCTCCAGTGAAGGAGACTCCACAGCCTCTCTGGGCAGCCTGTTCCAGGGCTCTGTGTTTAATAATCAGTTTTCAGCCATGAGGAAGCTGAACTCTTTATTTGATACTTTTATTTTCTCTGCCAACCATGGAAAGGTGAAAAATGGCTCTACCTAAGTTTGTTGCAAAATGAGCAATGGAGGCTTAGGATTTCCAAATTATTCTGCATTGGAGAAGAAGCTGTTGGAGATACACTGTAAAAAAACCCACAGCCTATAATGAAAATATTAAAATAATGATTAACATATCACACCTTATTGAGCACTGCAGTTTACAGTGCTTGATGTTGTTACTGTATATTGGCTGCATGCACCTTCCAGTGGCATTTTACAGAAGTTTACACTTCTGTATTTCAGCCACACTTCAGTAACATTGTAACTTTAACACATCCAAGGACACAAAAAAAGCTTGAAGATGGTTGAGCTCATGAGGCCCATTTTAGTGTAGTGTTTATACTTTCTAAACACCTGCAAATAATTTTACTTGATTTTATTAACAATGAGGAAGAAAATTGCTAAGATTGTTATTTTGAAGGTTTCATTTGTTTTGGAGGCTCATTGAAGAACATGGATGTGATCTTGCATAAATCAGCAAAAAGCACTAGATTTTGGAGTCTTAAGACTGTCACTGTCTCCTTAGTTCATTCTGCCATACTTGGATATTGAAAAGGACTCAGAATAGGTGTAATATGACATACAACACTACGTGATTTATGCCCCTCTACCTGGAGAATACACGATAGGATAATAGCTAATAGGCTGATTTTCAGAGATGCTCAGCACCAACAACCTCAGCTGAAATGAAAATAAAAGTGGCAACTGCTCAACACAGCTAAACTGGGGCCATGAAGATCAGCCAATAAAACTGGATGCCTTCGTGTTTACAGTTTAATGTCAACATCTCAAAACTTTCCCGAAACAGTATCTTTTTAGTGTTATTGTTTCTGTTATGGTGGGGCAAGAAAAAACATAATTAAAGATGCACTTTTTCATTTTAGCATTCTGTCTCCCTCAGCAGCTGTTCACAAGTGGATTATTTTGGGAATTTGAGGGCAATCTATTAAGTCATTTTTAAAGTAGGCAAGAAATGGTGTGGGAGATAGATTTTTCCTAGATTGTCCTGTTGTTGCTATATTTTTTAAAAGCACCTTTATGTTGAAAGAAAACAGCTGAAGAATAGCAGCATTCAAGACCCAAAAATCTAGTCCTCACTGCACAGTTCTCTGTGCTGAGTCTGGTGACAAACCTGAAATGACCCAGACTTTTTCTTGCTTACAACCAGAAGAATCTGAAGATGGGATCAAATTTTTTGTTCCTTCTCTGCGCTTCTGCTGAATGTCCACCGTGTGTGGCTGTGACTAAGGAGCACTGCCTGACAATTTTCTCTGTTCTTGATGAAAGACCACATGTAGAGAGCTGAGCTTGGCTGTTAGACTGGGCAACTAGAATTATTCTGAAATGTCAGGTGAACAAAGGTAATGCTGAAAGAAACGTGAGACCTTATGAAGAAACCAAAACTATATGAGCACAGTTACATACATATGTATACATATATGTATGCATATATGTATATATTCTAGTTGTCTGTTTTCAGTGTTGATCTCCCTGTTGCTGTATAAGAGGAGTAAGTGGGAGTTGGAGCTAGGAGATTGTGTGAGAATGTAATGAAGGAACAAAGTGCAAGACTTGGGTTAGGTGTCAATGCAGGAAGGAAAGCAGGCTCTCTAGATTTGTGAGTAACACCGTGGTGAATGCAATTACTGAAATGAAAATGGGAATAAACCTTTGGGCATTTCTGTGTTAGCACATCAAGTCATGATACAGAGGGAGGAAGGTATTTTTAGTAATCTTAGGAAAACCTAAATGTTTTCCTTCTTTCTTCAGGCTCGTGGTGTGGAGAGGAGATTAAGTTTTGTTTTTTTTTTTTTTTTGGTAAATGGATATAAATTATAGAGTATTAATAAAAGCCTTATAAACTTAATAGAAACTCTTCACAATAGTTGTCTGTGTAATGTTAGATGTATGATGATGTGATGAAAGGTTTTACTGGGATTTGTTCAGTTTGCCCTGTGTGATTCACTTCTGGCTCTTCCACACTGGTAGTGCCAAATTCAAGCCAAGAAAATGACTGTACTTATCTGGAAGTTGTATACATGCTGTCATCACTTAAAAACTGTATTACCTTATATAACTAGTAATTTCACTTCAGCATTTTCAGTGCTTTGAAGGCATAACCTGTGTCAGGGAATATGGTAAATATTGAGGCAAAATTGCTTCATTATGTAAGTCAAATCTTGAAAGTTTTCATGTGCAGCCAGTGCGTGGGTGTATGTGTGTTTGTTTATTTGAGTATGTATGTGCCTACATAATCCCTTATCTTCTAGTCTACATATTTCCCTTGCCAAAAAGTAAAATCATATTAAACACTGTTAAATCGTAATACTTTACACTTATTATTATATAGTGCATTTCATCCAAGCTTCTCATACTACTTTAGTCTTTAATGCTTGATAATCCTGCTGTGACATAGAAAGTATTATTGCCATTAATAATGGTTAAACAGAATCACAGGGTAATTAAGCACTTGTCTATGGTGGCATTGTCATTCCTGTTTCAAAGAAGTGTTTATTCTGAGTTCACGGTCTTCCTGTAAAATCTCAACAGACATAAAGCACGTTAGTTTTTGTCTCAATATATCTGCTCAAGGTCAATCCTGGAAGTGTTTGCGTGTGTGTGTGTGGGTGATGCTAACTTGCTGTGTTTAGATTAGTAACTATCTGTGTTTTTTCCGTCATTCTCTTTGGTTTTGGTTATTTGAAATTCTTCTCAAGTTAACAAGCTGGATTGCAAGTTGCACTTTTCTGAAGTGATGACATAGCCAGGTAAGTCAGGAATTGAATTGGTAATTTTTGGACTCTTGTTCTCATACTTCCTGTAAATAGTCCAGTGTCCTTTTGCAGGGTGGATACCTACTAGAGAACTGAACCAACCTCTCTCTTCCAAGTTCTTAAATGTATAAAAGCTATCAAGATACTATTTGGCTTCTTTTCTTTTCCAGCTTAACCCACACTATCCAGAAGTTAATAATGAAGGAAAAGTTTTGGTAAGTGGAATTTGTATGTTGCATATAATCTGGCAATACTATATCCTTAGCCCAATACAGCACAACATATGAAAGTCCTTCGTAGCTTTCCTTTTACTTCCATGTCAAGGCTGCTGAGAATGTATTCCATATCCTGTGTAAGTTAGGATTGCAACTCAGAACTAGCATTACAGAAAGTTTCCCCTTGCATTAAGGAAGCTTGTTCAAATTCTGCATCAAATTGGCACGAGCTGGGAGCTGTTCAGCTTAGTGGCTGCAGATAGGAAGTGTGTTAATTCTCCTCAAATCAGATATATTACCTCATGACAAAACCCACCACTCTCCTTAGCAAGAAAACTAGAGGCAAGCAAGTCTGGTTACTTCATGTGCCTGTACCAATTCAGAGGCTCTGCCCCCTTGGGACATGTTTGTCAGTCAAGAGTGGCCCTAAACCTGAGAACATGCTGAGACTCATACTGAATACAAGCAAGCAGATATTCAGGCACAGGCCTGGTCTGAGCCCAGCCACACTTCAGGCAGCTCTAGCATGACATGTCTGCAGGACTCCCAGGTTGTGCTTGCAGCAGTGTGGATGGGCTGGACAAAGGCCTTATGCCCTTTGCCTGGTACAAAAGTCTTTGCCTTTAGCAATACCAAGAGCATGCTAGCTAATTGTAACTAACTAGGCAAGGCCAAACAATTTATAATGTGTGAAGGAAGTGGAGTTAAGACCCTGGCAGAATCTTACTGACACAACAGAAAGTCCAAAAAAGAATAATTCCTTCATCAAATTCATGAGATTGCCTAGAAAATGCTGAGATCTTAGAAAAAATTTAGATTAAAGCCTTCTGGCTTTTGTTCTTTTAGAGGACACATTTTCAATTTTTTTCTCTGTATGGGGAAGAAATCTTTATTTTTCATGAAATGAAACCCAAGATTCTTTCATAATCACATGCCTTCAGGACTGCAATTTTAATAAAAATGGACACTTTTGTAGGAGTTGGCAATATTGGTTTTCCATCTTCCCTGGTATTTGATATTAATGATAATATAGCAATAACAGCTAAGGTGTTCAGAAATATAAGTCTTCTCTCTCATGAAAATATGGAAGTTCCAGCAGTTTTTTCTCTTTTGTCTTGGAATGACACTTGAAGCCCTTGGAGCTTTTGAGTGGAAATAGAGGTAAGTTCTGGAACACTCCTGTTTGTAGAGTGCTTGCTTGGAAATGCTTGGGTTCAGGCTCTTGGTCTGTGAACAGTAGAGTTGGTCTCATAGACGTGCGTCTGCTCACATCATGACAGCATTTGTGAATCAAACCTCCTGGCTGTTCCCTGTTTAAGACAATCCAATTCACTTTCAGAGCTATCACAGAGCATGTAAACTTGTATTCATACAATCATAGAATTACCAAGGTTAGAAAAGAGCTTCAAGATCATCAAGTCCAACCATCTGCCCTACAACCCCCAACCACTAACCCATCTCCTGGAATACCATGTCCACCCGTTTTTTTTATACCTCCAGGGATGGTGCCTCCACCACCTCCCTGGGCAGCCTGTTCCAATGCCTCACCACTCTTACTCTGAAGAAATTTTTCCTAATGTCCAATCTAAACCTACCCTGTTGCAGCTTGAAACCATTCCCTCTTGTTCTGTCACTGATAACCTGTGAAAAAAGATCAGCACCAACCTCTCTACAAATGTCCTTTCAGGTGGTTGTAGAGAGTGATGAGGTCTCCCCTCAGACTCCTCTTCCTCAAACTAAACATTCCCAGCTCCTTCAAGCGTTCTTCGTAAGATGTATTCTCTAGGCCCTTCACCAGCTTTGTTGCCCTTTTGAATACATATTTGAATACATATTTTGAATACATATTTTGAATACATATTTTGAATACATATTTGTATACATTACGTGCATAATATATATATAAACATTTAATCTGTTAGCCAAACAACTTTAGTAGTATACTTCTGATTCTGAAAAAATTTCCTGATTTGTTATTTGAATAAGTTGTCCACCAGAATTCTATAAATCTACATAGATTAATATTTATAATTAAGCAATATTTAATAAAGATTATGGGTGTATGCACATGCAAACCATGAGCAGCCAGTTTCTCAAGGAGAATGCTGTGGGAAACCTTACCAAAGGCCTTGCTAAAGTCAAGGTAGACAACAGGTTTCACTCATCCAATAAGCAGGTCACCCTGATGTACAGGGATATGAGGTTAGTCAAGCAGAAGCTGCCCTTCATCAACCCATGCTGACTGAGCCTGATCACCTGGTTGTTCTGCATGTACCACATCATGGTGCTCAGGATGATCTGCTCCATCAGCTTCCCTGGTACTGAAGTCAGACTAACAGGCCTGTGATTTCCCAGATCATCCTTCTGTTGCTTCTTATATATGGGGCTTACATTGGCTGTTTTCCAATCTGCTGTTACCTCCCCAGTCAGTCAGGACTGCTGATAAATGATGGAAAGTGGCTTGGTGAGCACCTCCACCAGCTCTTTAAGTGATATTGGGTGCATCCCCATGGATTTGTGCACATCTGTGTGGTGCAACAGGTCACTGACCATCTCCTCCTGGATTGTCGGGGGGGTCATTCTGGTCCTTGTCTCCTAGCTTAGGGAATTGGATTCCTGCAACATGACTGGTCATGTTACTAAAGACTGAGGTGTAGAAGTCACTAAGCACCTCAGCCTTTTCCTCATCATTCTTTTGGGTGAAGGTAAAAAGATTCATGTACCTCTGGCATGTATCTACTTTGCTCTAACCTTTCATGGGTGTCCAGCCCAGAAAACCAGATTACAGCTAGTCTGAAGTAAGACCTATGAAAATATGTACAGGGTAGATGTTAGATCACAGAATTATCCTGTTTGGAAAAGATCTTTAAGATCATTGAGTCCAACCATAACCTGACTGTACCAACTATGGTCCTTGTCACCAGGGATCCAATCCTATTGTACTATACTGTACTTCTTCAGATACAGGATAGGTTTTCCAGTTGTAGCAATTCCAGTTGATTTAAACAGTTAAATATTCCCTGGACTGGGTAATGAAGAAAGCATGGGAGTAATCTGAACATGAATGTTAAAGGTGACTTCTCTAACAGTTTGGCTTAATCCTTCTGGGTATTGATTTCAATTGAAAATCCAGATCTGATAAATCAGATTAGATAAATACTTCCAATGAAAATGGAATCACAACTGATGAGAGATAAAAGCTGATGTTACTGTGAAAATTGTAGTTTATGCAGTCAGCACTTTCTTGTGAAAAATGTTTTGTGGAAGAATTCCTAACAGTGTTTGGTAACACCTCCATATAAATCCAAGCCTACAGGCGATTTTAGCGTGGTAGAAATCCATTTAGATCCTTCACTCCTTTATAATCTTGTTGCAAATGGCATGAGTCAGCAATGGCCATTTAAGCCTTCATTCAGGCCTTGAGTGACTGAGCAGAAAAGCTTCACATCCCTGTAGAGAAATTTCTCTTATGTTAAAATGATGCAGTGCTTTGAATTATCCCTCAAAAGTACAAGAATTCTACAATATTTAGAGATAATTAAGGGCCAGCTATGTCAGTCTTGTATACAATATGTACATAACCTAGAGCCCACATACTGTCTTTGCTCTGTGGTTTTCATCTAGTGTTTCTTCTGCCAGGTGACTGCCTAACTGATTCACTACAAAGGCATAATTTTTCAATCTTTTAAAGCAGTTAGTTTTGAAATACTGCCCATGAAGTACAACTGCTGCAGAGTGGGAGGTGGAAGTGGACCTACCCCAGGAAAATTTGAAGTCTGAGTATCAGGGAAATGGGAGATGCATACTTGGATCTTTTCAACTGAAGGAAGAAAGTCAGCCTGCAGCCAGTGTTTTTCTTTTCTCTGCTAATCTGTTGGATAAAAGGCTACCAGCTTCTTTTCTGTTGTCTGGATTTTAAAGGCAGCACAGCCATTTATGCATGTCATGCCAACCCTTAACTCCTAAATACGTGATACGGCTCCTTGTGCATGTTCCCTGCCTGGTGTACAAGTCCTGATCATGGTTGCTTAGGTAACTGAATTTTAGGGAGCAGCAGTGGAGAAGGATTTTCTGTAGTGCAGTACTGGGCATAGGCACCTAGGTTTTGCCTTAGTGCATCTTTTTGGCCTTGCCTTAAGTGACTTAAAAGTCTGAAAGAGTTTTGGCTCCAAAGGACATAAATATTACTGGAAGTCACTAGGACTTTTGTGCCCAAGCATTAAAGCTATGTTTGGACTGCAGTTCATTGCTCATTTATGGGCTTCTTCTTGAAAATCCAGCCAAATTGTCTTGTGAAACACTGCTTTTATTTCTGGTAAAATTTGGTCTTACGATTAGTTGATTAATATTCTTATTGCATATTTTTCTCATACCTAAACTCCAAAAGATTTGTTTTTTAAATGGAAATACTCTTCTGTGATTTATCAAAAAAAGGCCTTTGTGTCTCTTGAAATCTAAGAGGTTGTAGTGTACCATGCAACAAAATGCAGTACTCTGTTACAGCTCCCATTAAACCCCAAATGGGTATATTTTATGCTGCAAACTAGTCTATTATATTTAATCACAGAAATGTACAGCATCCAGAAGAACACTATAAGCATTGAGGAAATGTCAAGAACAGCTGGGAACCTGGCATTTGCTAGCACCTTTGGTTTCAAGGCTGTCATTGGACTGATACTTTAACTTCATTTGTCTGCATTTTCCTGAGGGAGTGCTCATCCTAACCAGTTCCAAACTGGTTTTTGTTGTTGAGATTTTTCTTGTTATTGAGACTGGTATCCATTTACTTTTTCTGTAAAGAAGCTGGAGAGTTCTGCCATGGACTTGTAGATTCAATGTGACATACCTTCTTTGACTTCTGCTTATCTATATTTATGAATTCCAAACAACTCTGCAATTCAAAATTTTCTTTCTTGCTTCTAACCGAGGGGATTTTTTTTTTTTCCCCTGATAAGCACTGTATTTTTATTTTTGTTTAATTAAAATTTTAGTGTGGGACACAGGTAAATGCAGAATAGGCTTGAGGAATTTGTTGTTTGAAAGGCTTGCTGAGGAATTAACCTGGCAATAAACAATCTGATAAATATTTTTAAACACAGAAAATCATCAACTTTGAAATGACAGTGTCTCTGCTTATATAAAGCCAGCAGTCAGACCACTTGTTAGGCTGGGGGGAGAAGAGGAGACACAAATGCCAGCACATTATTATTATTCTGCTGCTGCACAGGGGTCTGAATCAGCTCTGAAAGCACATATATTGTTTCTTACAGAATGTCTCTGGCTCCTGACAACAGAATTGCAATGTGATGTCTCTGCTAAAAATGTGATGACTCACAAATGAGTCAACAGTGAAGGTGTTACAGGAGGCTAACTGCTGGGCTGTCTGCCAGGGCTTCCTAACATGCAGGAGCAAGGCTGGCCATTAATTTACTCGACTTTCTTTTCCTATAGAATTTTAAAAATCATCTGACTTATGAAGTTCTGCTCACATTGCTGCTCTCTGAAAATGCTAGTTTTGTGAGAGCCTCCTAAACTAGGTTAACATATTGAAATACCACATTGTACTGGATTTAACAGGCATTTTCAGAACTCTGGCTGCTATTAAATTCAATTTCTGCTGAAATGTGTATTGTGGCTTAATGTATTCATTCAGGAGCAGGGCATTATCCTTGTCTGTCTCTGTGCCACAAGAGGTGTCTTTACCAATTGGAATTGTAGATTTGGTTTGTAGAAGAAAAGATATTTCAGGTCTGTCATGATTTTGTATTGCTTTTTGCAGCTGAAAGAAAGGTCCCTCCATAAGCAGAACTCCATGTAGATCTCCCAAATGTTAGGTATGATACCCAGTTGAGGTGAATAGTGGGGATGCTATGCTTTACTGCTGCAGAATGAGGCTGGCAACTGGGTGACTGACAGCCCTCTAGCTGGGTGGACACTTAGGTTTTGTTAAGCAGAATTGCTCTTTGTACCACCTGGGTCATTCTTTCAGAAGGTGTTGGACCAAGTTCTGGCAGGCAGAAGAGGAGCTGAATGTGTGTTTTCCTCATCCTGGTGAGTGACTGAACCAGTGCATGACTGAGTGAGGTGATTCCACCTTCTTCCCATTGGCTGTGTATCTGATTTGACTTTTGACAGCGTGTCACTATTTTCACAATAGTTTGGCATAATCAAAAGTACTTTTTTTTTCCTCAGTGAATTTACTATTTGCTAATATTGTTTTATGCACAGCTCTTGCACCTCTCCATATTCCTAGCATGTAATTTACCTGCCTTTTTTTTTTTTTTTAAGTTTTGCTTTCCATGGCTGTCACTGACCACATCCCCAACATGTCTGAAGCTGTTCATTGGCTTCCTCTTCATACTGCTTTAAGTTGAATTTTCTTCTCTGTATATTTGAGACCTTTTACAGACCTTTTTCCTCCCTTGTCTTCATTCAATCCAGTTTCACTGGTTGCATCTACTCCTATGCCAGTTAGTTACCTGAGCAAATGTAATCTTGTTTTCATCTACTTGGGAATACAGTGCTGCTTATGAGCTGATCATGCTGTCTAACTAGTTTGAAATAGTCTAATACTTTTACTTCTTTCCATGTCCTCATATAATCTGCTAATCCAATAATGGCTAGGTGAAGTGCAGATTCTGATGACCACTTAGGAAATTGAATTAACCATAGGAAACTTCCTTTGTGCAAGTGTGTGTGTGTGTTCTCTCTCACACAGACACACACAGAGGTATGTGCACATGCAATCACACATGGATGTTAATACGTGTTGACTATTGCTCTGTCTCGCATGAAATCCTTGTATGGAAGTTGTTTTCAGAGCTGTCAAATTCAAGGTCACTTCTTGTTACATGTTTCTTTTGTTCATTGACTACAGCATAGGATCCATAATCCCAAGTTGGATTCTGAGATTTGTCTGAGATCTAAACTAACACTGTAAGAAGAGTTCTGAGGTTTGTGCTGCAGTGCAGTCTGAAACTACTGTACAGCTGTTGCGTAGCTCTGATTTTGCTCAGCATTGCAGTTAGCAGTGTTACAGACACTGTCTTACTCTTTTTAGAAAACCAGCTCTTGCTCATGTGCCAGGTCTGATCTGACAGATGCCAAGCCTGGTGGGATTGAAACTTTATGAGCCAACTCTATTGCTTAACAGCATCTATGGAATTGTTGAGGAAACTAGGGAGTGAGTGGAATCAGCCCCATACTGCAGGATGATATTCTCCACAGAGCTAGTGATTAGCATGAACTCCTTAAGCACAGGAGACCTGCCTTTGACTTAGCCTCCTGTCATAGGAACTGGCACATGTGCCTATATACTCATGCTTAATGAACTTTTGGAGATAATTGAATGTTCTGTTGTGAGTCAGTAAAAAAAAAAAAAAGTTTGTAACACAGGGTAGAATATGGTTTCATGTTTCAGTCTGTATTTTTCCCAGAGACCCAGGGGAAAAAAATGCATAAAATTAAGAGGTGTCCTGCCTTTTTCTATATCAGCCTTTTCAGTTTGGAAAGTAGAATGGGTAGTTCCTGGGAAATACTAACTTGATTTGAATTAGGTTGTAGGAAATATCAGAAAATCTGGATGCTGTTCTAAACTATTCTCTGCCCTTCACCCCTTTACATACTCTTGAACTTTGAACTAGTTTTCCAGTCTCCCATTTTTGTTTGGAAACTTAGGAAGTAGATTTTAGTTTGATGTGAGACTCTGACTCACACCTGTTAAGCCCTTAAGAAGATTCTCTTATAATTTGACTGGCTTTCCAGGTTGGGTCTCATCCTAAGTTTTTAAAACAAAATGTGTATGAAAATCACATTTATTTTGTCTGTTTTCTCAGTCCTTCCATACAGGTTAAGTTTTTAAGTGCAATTTTGTTTAATATTTTTAGATGAGGGGTATGAAAGTATATGAGGACTGTGAGATAAGAGTTGATGCTTGTGCAAGAGACAGGAAGTTGTTTTCCTTTGTCTCAGCAAGCCTTCCTCTCAAAAACTCATGACAACACTCTAATCACTAGATGAGCCTGAGAAAAACTCCTGAGATGATTTCTACCTGTTTTTTTCCTACTGTCTCTGTCCTTCATAAAAGTAATGGGATGGAAAGTTGGCCCTTTTTAGGCTTGATAATGAAGAAATGGGTGTTTTGGAAGGATTCAAAAAGTTCAATGAAATGAGAATATAACTAGCTATTTCTTACATAGTTTCACTCATCGTTGATTTTGTTGCTTAATCAATTGGCAAAAAGAATAATGAAAGATTTACCCTTGATTATCTCTTACAGTTTGGCTTTAATCAAGGTACTAATGCAAACCAAGTACCCTCCAGCCTCTTTACATTGCTTTGTACATCTTCTCCCTAGTGGTGCACTATAAATCATTATAATAGTATTGCAGGTTTCCAGAGTTTGATTTTTCTCCTTTGGCTTTCTCAATTCCTCTTTTCCCCTCATGATATATTTTGTGTACATGAATGGCCCAGGGCTGCCAGTCTCTTAATTGGTTATTAGTCTTTTGTAATATGTATAACTCAATGCCCCTGAGGAGCAGCTTTTACTTATACCAGTAATTCTGTTGGTTGCTGTGTGGTTGTGGGCACAGACTCTGAATTACTCTCTCATGCAAAGTTATTTTGGTGTCTGTGAAGATGTAGGTAACTAAAGATGAAGATGGCTGCTTAGTGGTGCTGGGTCACAAAATTCCTGTAGACCTTGAGCAGTGAATGGGAGGAGGATGCCCACCTTAGATTTGCACACCTCTTTTGATGCACCAACACAAGTCTGTCACTTGAAAGCTATGCTCCTCAGAGGGAGCAAACTCCTCCAGTTTCAGTGGGCACACTTATGCCTATGTTGGATCCAGCTGCCAATGCATAATCAGCCTATGCTAAGATTTCAAATACAATCTAGCTAATACAATCTCTGCTATGAAGACATGCTGAGGGAGTTCGTGCTATTCAGCCTGGAGAAGAGAAGGCTTCAGGGAGACCTTATAATGGCCTTCTAGTAACTGAAGGGGCTACAGGAAAGCTGGGGAGGGACTGTTTACAAGGGTGTGTAGTGATAGGACGAAGAGGAATGGCTTAAAACTGGAAGATGGTAGATATAAGTTAGACATCAGGAAGAAATTCTTCACCATGAGGGTAGTAAGGCACTGGAATAGGTTGCCTAGGGAGGCTATCGAAGCCCCTTCGCTGGAGGTGTTTAAGGCCAGGTTGGATGGAGCTTTGTGCAGCCTGGTCTGGTGTGAGGTGTCCCTGCTCATAGCAAGGGGGTTGGAACCTGATGATCTTTAAGGTCCCTTCCAACCTTAAACATTTTATGATTCTATGGTGCTCTGTGTGTCCCCCCTTTCCAATGACAAGTCGATGTTAGTGGACCAGATATTCTGGTGCTGCTGTGATTCTCACTGTATAAGAGGGAAAAATGAGCAAACTTAAATAAAACAACAGTGGAATTAAGCAAACGGCTTACTATGTTTAATCCCCTTGCCCTTTAAAAAATCTGATTTTCATTAGGTCTCTTCTTTTAACTTTGTCCCTTTCCAAATCAGCACTATGTAATCCCATCTGTTGGGAGTGAAGGGTCTGCAACAACTGCAGCTTTTTTTAAGTTGTAGGTGTCAAGTAATAATGTATATAGTACTGCAGTCACTCTGCAGCTTGTAACCTGCTGTTGTTGTAATGACTGTCTGAGACCCCATGTGCCTGGGGCAAAGTGCATCCTTTGTGTTACACACTCCAAAGCCAGTCATGGGACATTCTTTTTAGAATGTTACCAAAAAAAAAGAAGAAAAATAAGAATACAATTCAGATGTATTACTTGTGTGCAAGGTAATTGGAGAATTTATAATGGACCCTGATGCAAGCAAATAACCCTTGTGCCTAATCAGCAGAGAGACGGTGACCTTCCCGCTTCAAAGAAGAAACGCCAAGCAGGGGAGAAGATTATGTATACTTTGGTCTCTGTGCCACATGGAAATGACATCGCATCTCTCTTTGAACTGGATGCCACCACTCTTCAGAGAGCTGATTGCCTGGTTCCAAGGTAAAAAAAAAAAAAAAAAAGGGCAAAAAATAGTGCTGCTTGACAGGGTTTCTTCCTAGCACTATGCTGGTGAGTAAAAGCAGAACAAATCAAACATGAGCAAGTATTATCCTTCAGTTAAAATCTGAGGAGTGTTCTTGGATAAACAAGGTATGTATAAAACATGATACTGTTGCTGTGACTGGTTAAAATAATTATAAGGATAAACCATGTGACACTTAAAGAGTGTCTGTGAAGGGAAAAATAACGGGGTAAATATTGCACAGATCTATATGAGGACAGAACTGAGCCCTGTGTGCTGTTTGAAAAAGCTGTGTTGCTAATAGATCAAACTGAATTGTTCCCAACAAAATAATCTGTATGGTGAACTGGGCCTCTGTTTCCCTGACAGGTCACGATGTCACTGAACACACTTGTTATTCAAATGAATTCAGCAAGTGGCTCTGGGTTTTAATTGTGAATATTTGAAACTTCAACTGTGTTGCTTAGCTGAGATTGGCTAGATAAGTCATATGGTGTTGGGTGTGACTGAATGGGCATGCAGACACTTGAGGCTAGTTGTTATGAGGGTGGAATTTAAAGCTGGGTACTCGCAAATACTGATATATGCAGCTTTGAAGTGTATTTGCTATGCTAAGTTTTGCCAGATAATTTGCTTGCTTGAGTGCTCAAAGCCCATCAGAATGAAAGGGAGAGCGAGAATGAAGACTGCAGTGAATGTATTTAAAAAACAGAATTCAGAGTAAAAATTATAATTGATTTCTCAGCTCTGCTTTTTGGTAATACCACAGATTATCATATGGAAAGAATTTAGAAGAATCTTGTGTCTGCTCCTTGTTCACTTGATTTTCAGTTGAGAACTGGTTCTGTAACTCTCTGTAACAAGGGTTTGCAGATCATAATGGTGAAGCTGTGAAACCATGGTCAGTTTTACTTTCTGGCTTCTATGCTGTGACAGGTTGAAGGAGTTTGTTACTTTGCAGAAAAAAAAATAATAAGAAAAGAATTTGTTTTATTCATGAAATCTATTTCTATTCAGATGGGATTTCATAACACCTTCCTTTAATTTTTTTTTTCCTTTAAGGAATACTTTACTCTTAGGCTTATATAAATACTTAAAAACAGTATTTTGCATAATCCCAAGGTACAGTTTGTTCTTGTTGCAGCTCAGTTCTGGGTGAGAAAGGAGACAAGGGAAAAGGGAACTGCAGTATCTTTTAGGCCTCCCTCACCCTTTTATTGTGAGTGACTGGTGCGATTCATGCCCTCAAGTCTTGTGTCATGGTCTTTACATTGCATTGCATCCCACTTTGCCCACATCAGGACTGATGCATCTAACCCACTCTTTGCTTTGTTCTCCTTTAGGAACTCATACGTCCGACTGAGGCATTTATGCACTAACACTTGGGTCACTAGTACTAGCATTCCAATAGACACTGATGAAGAGAGGCCTGTGATGTTAAAGGTAAACACACATATCTTTGGGTTGAAATCCCAAACTCATTCCTGAAGTTTTCTCCTGGTGAGCTCGCCTTCTACCATATAAAATATGAATAATAATTAGGATAAAGATAAGGGGATTATTTACCCAAATGAAAACAAAACCTATTGCAGATTGGGACGTGCCAAGCAAAAGAGGACAAGGAAGCTTTTGCCATTGTATCGGTTCCTCTGTCTGAGGTCAGAGACTTGGACTTCGCCAATGATGCAAACAAGGTTCTAGCATCAACTGTTAAAAAGCTGGAGAATGGAACAATAACCCAGAATGAAAGGAGGTTAGTGGATTTGGTTTTTTTCTTCCCCTCCTAAATTAGTGTTTGGTTACTTGTGGCATCATGGCATCACGGTAGTGGATAAGTTAGTAACAGAGGCAATTGAGAGATGACACTTCAGTGCTGAGTGTGCTAGCCTGGGATTAGCTTCCACCTCTGTCAGATCATCCTTGCTGCACCTCAGGCCTGTCTGTGCATCTCACCTGTAAAGTGCAGGTAAACAGCACTTCCCCAGCTCACTGGCCACAGAAATAAATGGGTAGCTCTCTGGGCAAATGCAAAGTGTGTCTTAATTTCCTTTGATCAACCACTTCTGAGCTGTAGTGTGGGGGTCCATTGCATTTGATTCTCATGTACAAGAAAGCTGTCTAGACAGTAGGCAGCATGGCAGGACTGTTGATTCATGAGGAGTTCACTCTTCCACATATTCATGCCATGAGAGCAGTAGAAGGAAGTCTAAGAGTGACTGAGAAGCTGCCTCTGTAATTCCTTTACTATTTCTGTTTTTCCCTGTTTTCTTTTCCTATGTGACATAATTTTGGTGTCTACCCTTTGTATTCAACATGTTTCAGCTGAAGTGCTATTAGAATGCATGTTCTTCACACCCACTGCTGAATTAAGGAATTTTGTTGTGCATTGTAGTCAAATTTATCCCATTGCCAGAGATGTGGTTCACTATTTGTTTTCAGCTGTCTGTTGTTAAACTGAATATTAGCATCTCTGGCAGTATTAATTTGTATCTTCTATTCCACCATGCATCATATACAGCTTTTTGCAGAAAATGTTCATTTTAGGTGATAAACCTGAATTTTTGCTGTCACTTGTCAGTAGCAATTAGATGAGATGGTTTAATATCAGATGGAGGATTTATTGTAACAGGCAGATCTGTAATGGCCTGGGTGTTGGTACTCAGCCTTGGAAAGTTGATGGGCCATTTAATGATTGAGTTGAACCACAAGGGGTATGACATAATCAAGGTGTAACATCCCCATATTAACCTTACACTGCTGTGTCACTGCAACCCAGTATGGTCAAGCCTTGATGTTGTGTTGACAGGTTGGTGCAACACACATGTAAAACATTTCAGAATGGCTTCAAAATGGGGCCATTATTTGTTCCTGTGATTTCCCTTGCCAAAAAACCCCAAAATCTTTATACCGTGCTAACACTTTCCTGCGTGGGTAAGTAAGGGTCCCAACAATTTATTCCTGGTTGCTCCATCCTATATCTGCCTTTTCTACTTTTTCTGTTTGGGGGGACCTTGCTGTTCTTCCCTGGTGGGCTGAGACTTTTAAAACTAAAGCTTACTCAGAGGGTTTAGTGAACAGCCCAGCCCTCTTGCAGGCAATGTAAGCCTTGTGTCTGGCTCCCAGAGATGACTTTGAAACTCTGCCACTTTCATAGTATACCTACAGGTTTAGTAATTTTAGACTAGATGTTGTCCAAATTCAGTTGATGCTTTCCCAGGGTGGGAGGCATGCTGGGGTTTTTGTTGGGAAAGATTGCTTCCTTTTAAGGAAGATTCATTGAAATCCATGGGCATGTGTACTTCTCTCTGTGCATGCCTGTCTAGGTATGTTAGTAACGAAGAGGTAATGACCTCTTTCTTTTTGCATTTTCTGAAGATAGAGAAGGAATTATTACTCCCTCTTGACTTTTTAGAACTTGTTTCTGCTAAATCTTCCTTTGTGTAGCAAGGAGTGAAACAAATATAGTAATTTTTCCGTAGTTTCTTGGGTCAGTAGGGAGAGAGTCTTGTGGCAGTGTTTTGATTCTTTTAGTGAGTTTGACATCTTGTTACACTGGCCACGATAAAGTATAAAAATCCTTGCTAGGCTGCATGAAGAGTGTCTTTCTACTGTTTCTACTGGCTTTGTAGCCAGCTGGCAATAGGTTTTGGATTTCTGAATACTCTGTATCAATCCAGCCTCTTGTATTTTTTTTTCTTTTTCTCCCTCTGGTTGTTGTTTAATGCCTTTGTAAACATCCTTATGATGGATATAAGCTGAACCAAGGTCTGGCATCTTTAAGTATATGTCAAACTTAACTTTGCAGTGATGGAAGTTCCATTGTGCTGGGTAAAGATTGTTCTAAAGAGTGATTTTCTTTTGTAATGAATCCTAGCAGGTGTTGAATAGCTGTATACAATAACGATTGGTCTATTCATTCTAGGTTTGTAACCAAGTTACTGGAAGATCTCATTTTCTTTGTTGCTGATGTGCCTAACAATGGGCAGGAAGTTTTGGATGTGGTCATTACCAAGCCAAACCGGGAACGACAAAAATTAATGAGGGAACAAAATATATTGGCTCAGGTATGCCCTTCTGTATTAATAACTTGCTTGTATTTATAAACAGACTGTAAAGGAGAGCAATTAAAGCAAATGTTATTTTTAGGTAACTTGACTTACTCCATGTGGGGTTTGTGCCTGGTTGGGTTGGATAAATACACTACTTACCTATTGCTCTATCAGTTAGAAGCATGAGGGGCCATGTCTAATGGCTCTTAGTTTTATGTGATTCTAATGACTTTTAAGACTACACATGATAGCAAATATTGACAAAATTTGAAACAAGCTTGCAACATGGTTCCAATCCTGCAAATGTTCCCTTATATGTAAAATTCTTGTGTCCTTATGGATCCCTGACTTTGTTTTTATGGGGGCCATCTTGCATGTAAATAAAAATTATTATTCTCTTTAAGTAGCCTACTGAAATTTTTTAAAAAGTGAAAAGGATGAAATCGGACAGCAGCCAGCATCGTCCTTCTTTTTCATCCTTAACTTACCCAAAGCTAAGGCACTTAACTAACAATATTTAAAATTGGGGATAGCAGTAAAGAGAAAGCAATGTCAGTCAAGTTGATGGGAAATGTAAAGCCAAACGCATAAAGCTGTCATGTCTGAGATTGTGCTGTCACTTGTATTTAGTCATATGTAGGTAAGTGCTGTGATTCGCTTCTGACTTCGGGTGATGAGGAGCACGTGCTGATCCTGTCAGAGGACATTTCCATTGACTGCTATACGTTAAGCCAAAATCTGGGTTTGGTTTTTATTCTTAGTGGTTTTGATTTTGAACAGATATTCGGCATCCTCAAAGCTCCTTTTAAGGACAAAGGTGAAGGATCAATGCTAAGACTTGAAGATCTAGGTGACCAGAGATACGCTCCATACAAATACATGTTAAGGTTATGTTACAGAGTTCTCAGACATTCCCAGCAGGACTATAGGAAGAACCAGGTCAGTGGTATCCAGCATAATTTACCTTTTGATTGCTATAATTATATATCCTGGGTTTAACATTGCTCTCTGCACTTACAAGTGGGATTATGTGTTAGTGGTGAAAGACTGGGCTTTGTGCAGGTTCGTAGGAAGAAGTCACTGTCATATACTGCCTCATGCTGAGGAACAGTGTTTTTGTTTTGTAGGCATTTGAATATGAATTGAATGATCAGCAATTAATATCATAGGTTCACTTTATACGTTCACAGACTTAGACTGAGGAACATTGCCTCATTCATGAGTGTTCTGTTACTAAAATTATTCTCTTGGGTTCTAGATTATAAAGTGAGAAGTCTGCAAAACTGTCTGTTCTGTTTCTGTTGCTTAAGTGTTAGTAGAGGGACAGCAGTGAATCAGACTGGAGGTTATTCTGTCAGCCTGATTTCCCAGTGCTGGAGACTCCCCATGAGCAGGAAGTATTTCAGAACATGGTGTCAAGTGCTTTGCATGTTGCAGTGAGGAAAAACCTACACTAACTTTATAGGACTAAAGGGACTAGAGATAAAAGATTAAACTTCTATGTGGAACTTCTTTGTTTTCCTTCTAATGCTTTAGAGAAGTGTTTCTTCCTTGGAGGGAGAGAAAGCGAGGAGGGAAAACTTGGGAAAGAAAGCTTCTTAAACATTATAAAAGCCTTTTATTTTTTTTCCTTGTAAAAAATTGGTCAACTTTTCTTGAATTTTGTTGATTATTTCATGGATTCGCTCCTTTGGTTTATAAAATAAAAAGAAGAGTTAGTCATCCCTAATGTTGAACCTGTTTCCTGGGGGTGCATATTTTAGGTTTGGATGTTCTTTGGTTCAGGCCAGTTCAGAGAAGAACGTTCTAAGGGTTATTTTGGTTTGCTAATTGAGCTGAGTCCTTCTTAGGCTAAAAGAAAACCACTACTGCTTAACAGGTCATCATGGAAATGTTCATTTTTTCAGGAATATATTGCTAAGAACTTCTGCGTCATGCAGTCCCAGATTGGTTATGATATTCTGGCAGAAGACACCATCACAGCTTTGTTGCACAACAACAGAAAGCTGCTAGAGAAACACATCACGGCTAAAGAAATAGAGACATTTGTTAATTTACTCAGGAGAAATCGAGAGCCAAGGTTTGAAGTAGTCTACATAACATTCTTTTTATGTATTGATAATCTTTTCTATTTGCAGTAGCTGTGAATTTGCCTTCTATTCATAGTTTTGTTGTCTCTTACTCCCAGATTATTATTTTTTTTTTGACCTGGCAGACAAAATACCCAAAAATATCAGAACTACCTGTAATTCTTGGAGTTTGACAATATCTGCATTTCAGAACTAGAGCTTATTGAACAAAAGGTTTATACTTTAAAAGGAAGTTTTGAAAATTTTGGTTTAGTTCACATTGAGACAAAGAGGATCAAATTTTAACTTCTCAGAACTCTGCAGCTCCTCTGTGAAACTGTCACTTATGTTGGTTTCACTGCAAATTGATGCAAATCTTGGTGCAAATTACACATATGTCAGTTTTTCTAAGCTTTTATTACTATCAGTTTTCCTGCAGGTTCTGATTCCAGGTCAGACCTGAAAGGGGCCTAGGGCAGTGATCATGTGTCCTACACCACATCCTTTTCCAGATGAAGAATTCTGGCCTTGAACTTCACTCAGCTGGAAATTGTTTTGATTAGCTTTAGGTCAGAATATGAAGGAAATGGATTTTGTTAAATGGAAAAATCCTACCTATATTTTTCATTGGATTTTCAGTTGTAAAATTGCCAGAGTAATACAAATTTAAGAAATTAATGTCCTGAAGGCCAAATAATGTCCTCTGTAATTGTGAATACCATTTTTCTGTTAGTGATTAAGGATATTGCTCAAGGCCCTTCAGGTACTTCACTGCTTCAGTTATTCTCTGTAGGTCTGCAGCTGTTTCACCTCACTCTGTAATCTTAGAGCCAGGTTGGAAGGGACCTCAAGGATCATCTGGTCCAACCTTTCTAGGTACTACTATAGTTTATATGAGATGGCTCAGCATGCTGATTGACTCTCCCAGGCTAAACTATGTTGTGTTTGGTCAGTACTGAGAGGAAGCCACATGAGATTGGCTCCTTCTCAGTGCTGAAGGGTCCTACTATTTACTGATGGTCTCTTGTCCCTTTGCGACAGAGGACATCATAGTATTATGGCTTAACTAAGTTGTACAATTGCTGTGCATTAAAATATACATTAATTCTTTAAGGCTGAGGTCCAGGAGCAATAAGTATTTGAAAAACACCCCTTGTCAAGATGGTGCAGTCTGAGCAGTAAAGACACTTATTTTCATGTAGAGCCTTGTAGGCTTCCGCAGCACTGGTTTTGTGAGTAAGACAGTGGTTGTATTTAGCACTCTGTAACCCAGGAGCTACAAAATTTCCCACGTTTTAGCTCCAACAAGGTAGTTCCCCCAGAATTCTTTATAGTTTTGTAGTTTTTGATGCAATAATGCTGGGCACTGTTAATTACCTATTGCCACAAATCTTCATTTCAGTGATGGGTAAAAATGTTCCTGTGTGTACCCTAAAAATGCTTTCTGTACTCATCTCTTGTCGTTTCCAGACTTTCTGGGGGAGTGTGGTTTGTGCCAATGTGCACAAATTTTTCTGATTCCCTTTGGTGGGATGATCACCTATAGAGGCTCAGACTGTTGGATCCTTGAACGGCTGACAGTAGATAGTACATTTTTTTTTTCCCCTTGATTTCTAAGGTACTGGAGTATATGATCTCAGTGTGTGTGTCTGCTCGAATCTGCTTCCCCACCAGCTCTTGAGCCTCTTGCCCAGTTTTAGCCACGTTTGCTAGAGGAGTGGTGGGCTCAAAGATACTCATTTCTTACAAATGTCATGAAAAGAAGCAACTACCTAGAGGGAAGAGGCCCTTTTTATATTCCAGAGAGGCAAAGGCTGCAATATGGACTACTGTTAATACACACAGAGGAATCCATGAAAGAGGGACATGAAGCAGATACCTAATGAATGTCCCAAATGTGAGGAAGGCCTCAGCCTGAACCTTGTTAAATGTCAGAAGACCTAAATTCAAGAGACAAATTCATAGGAAACTGATTTCCATGCAAAGCTTTGATATTTCTTCTTTACATGGATGGCTTTGAGTGCAGAGATCCTGTCTTCAGGTCCTGCCAGATCTTCACTCTTCACTAATTGTTTGCTGTCATTTCAGAGATTTTAAAAGGCACCTTTAAAAGGTGGAGGCGTGGACTTGAGTGCAGTGGAGATACACAGCTGTCTCCAGCACAAGTAACATCTTCTTCCTACTTGTATTAGGGACACGCATGTTACCTGGTGGGGAAGATGGCTAAGAACATGTACTCTTGCATTTGGCTCCTGACAGGGACTTAGGCCTTCAGTGGAGCTCTACCACCAGCCAAGCTCATGACAGCCTCAGGCTGCTCTTAAATTCTGGTACAATACTTTGGCCTTTGATTTGCTAAGAAGCATCACACTTGGGGTATTTCTCTTTTCTCTCCCTGACTGGTTGTTTAGCACTGTTCAGGGTGGCTCTCAAAGCTATTACCCATTTTTATCTGTTGTGAATTCCAATAGTCTGACTTGACAAAGATCACATGTTGATAAATCTCATGATATATGCTCCCTTGAGGATATTAGTGATGGATGCTAGAGATTTCTACTGCACTGTTTCTGTCTAGTATTTCCAGTCTTACATTCTGTTGCATCTGTGGGTTTTTTGACTGCAGATTCTTGGATTATCTATCGGACCTTTGTGTATCTAACACCACAGCAATACCAGTAACTCAGGAACTCATCTGCAAGTTTATGCTGAGCCCAGGAAATGCTGACATTCTCATTCAGACAAAGTGAGCATCCATAATTGGAATATACCTTTTTGTTATCTGCTCTGTTGTTACATTCGTAGAAGTTTGCTAGTGGCTCCATTGTGAATGATCTGTGTTTGCAGGCTGGTGTCAACACAAATGGACAATCCCTTGGAGTGCCCAGTCATCTCAGATGACATTGATGAAGAGGAAGTGTGGCTTTACTGGATTGACAGTAACAAGGAACCTCACGGTAAAGCCATCAGACATCTGGCTCAAGAGGCAAAGGAGGGCACGAAAGCGGATTTAGAAGTTCTGACCTACTACAGGTAAAACTGCTTATTCAAGTGGAATAAAATGTAAACTCTTCAACACCCTGATGCTGTTCTTATCTGGATCATTTGATGGTATCAGCAAAGGAAACAAAGTCATGACAAAAATTGAGATTAGAAGTGTGTTTCAAGTTTTTCTCGTAGAAGCATCATACTCTCTTCTGTCTATTGCAGGCTAATCTTCAATTTCCTTTGCTTATGACAACTCTTTGTGTCTTTTTAGAATTTTGCCTCTTACCTTTTATTTACTGGGATGTATTTTCAAGTTTTGCTGCTCTGGAGCAAGGTATGCTCTGAGGAAAAAGCATCCTGAGGATTAAAGGGGAAATAGGATCATGAAACAGTGTCTTCCACAGGTTGAAAAAAATAATCCAAATGCTTCAGCCTTTCACTGAACAATGCTTCCTTTGAATTTTAAAGTGAGCCCAGTCTTCATGGGTTTTGGAGCCTGAAGATAGCACTTTTTAATGGCAAGTCGGTCCTTTCATTAGCAACACTTGTAATTTTTTAGCATTTAGATCAGAAAGGTTGACATCAGGCTAGTAAAGTGAGATTCTGAGAGAAGTTGTATGATATTTGAAGGAAATCAGTTGGAAATATGTTGTTGTCTTTCTTTAAGGTACCAACTGAACCTCTTTGCAAGAATGTGCCTGGACCGCCAATACTTGGCCATCAACCAGATTTCTGCACAGCTGTCAGTAGACTTGATCCTACGATGTATGTCTGATGAAAGCCTCCCTTATGACCTCCGGGCTTCGTTTTGTCGGCTGATGCTACACATGCATGTGGACAGAGATCCTCAGGAATCTGTGGTACCTGTCAGATATGCCAGATTGTGGACTGAAATTCCTACTAAGATCACAATTCATGAGTGAGTTGAAAGTGTTGCAGACTAAAGCACAAAAGTGTTTTATTGGGGTTAGTCTCAGAACAAAATGTAGATGTGTGATGTCAGCAAAACATATGTGGGAAAAGGTAATAATTCCTATTATGGGAAGAGCTAATAATTATTGTTATTCATGAACACTTCCATGTGTAACTTTATATGAAAATATTTCAGTCTCATTTTTCACTCTGTTCTTATAGGAAACAAGCTGAGGGAATATGGAATGGTCTTTCCTCAGACCAGCTGAATTCGAAGTAATCTAATTGTGTCTAACACTGAGTTCCATCCTACCAACCATGTAGTGTTATGCTTCAAGCTTAACTGAAAGCCACTGTTGGAAAGCTGGAACTTACAATTTGGTACAGCTATTGCCCCAGAAACAGTTTACAGAGGCTTTGGCTTCCATCCAGCAAAGTACTTAAGCATCTGCTAAATTTACGTAAGGGAGAAGGGCCCATTGACTTAGTGGAAACCCTCTCTGGCTTAATTGATATGATGGAGCAGCCCCACTGGACTAGACCCAGACAGGCAGTATCTGGCTGAAGAAACAGAGGAAGAAGTATAGCAGTGCAGCAGACAGTATTACTTCTGTTTGTGGGTTGAAGGTTTGTTTTGACTTACATGAAAAATCTGTCCTAATTGGTGATGCAAAAGAGGAGGCTGTCCTGAGCTGCTTTCCTGATCTGCTGCTGTCTTCCTTGTGGAAACAGTAAACTCTGGCTGATGGGCTGAGAGAACAGCTGAGACTTGATGATTACTGAATTGCCACAGCAAGATTTAAGAGTGCTATCTGCCAGAACAGTAGTGTTTTGCTGTTTCTGTTATTCCCATTCACTGCAACCCTTAAAGATCCTGTTGGAGGGAAGGTTTGTGCATCCTCTCTGCCTGTGTATGCAGAATCAGCTGACCTCTACCCCTTCTCTTTACAGAGAATTGACAGTAGTTTTATAGCATTGTGATTGGTTTGTTTTTAGTTTAGTGACAGCTGATCCTGATATTAGAGGTGTTTAATTTTTCTTCCTTCTATGTCTTGCATTGTAGGTATGACTCTTTCACAGACTCTTCAAGAAATGAAATGAAGAGAAAGTTTGCACTCACCATGGAATTTGTAGAAGAGTACTTGAAAGAAGTTGTAAATCAGCCCTTTCCTTTTGGAGACAAAGAGAAAAATAAACTTACATTTGAGGTACTTCTCAGCTATCTCTCTCCTACTTATAGCATTTCTCCTCATTTTAGCTAAGTTGTTATTGGGTCCTTCAAAATAAAGATAGTTGCAGAATAAATGTTGGTGTAAAATGTCTTAAAGAAGCACCAGTTCCTAATACCAGTGGCTGTGATTATGACTGTTACTGCAGAAAATAATATTATAGTATGCTGTCCAATAGCTGTATTTTTCCTTCCTTTTCTGAGGTGGTTGCATTTCAGTGGCAAGAGGGAGGGATATGTGTGTGGGTGAATGGCCATATGACCTTTCTCTCCACATTAGTGAATTAGCATGCAGGGATTCTTCAATATAAGTAAGTATTATTCTCTGTGTAAGATACGAAACTAAAGAAAGTACTCTGAATAGCTTAATCCTGTGTTTTAAATATTGTTTGAAATTCCTAACAGAAGCTTCAGATAGGCCTAAACCTTCTAGATTCAAATAACACTGAGTGAAAGGGAAATGCATACAGCTTTCATAGTTCTTCCTCCAACCTACCTGCTAAAAATCATCACTCCTGCCCCTGGTCATCTGTAATCACCTCTGCTCAAACTTAGATCAGTTGTCTTATTGTTCTTCCAACTGCTATTTTCCCCACAGCTGCTGCCTCTTTAAATGATTTCCTGGAGTCTTTCTTCTTGATCTTATATATTTTCCCAAATGTAATTTTGTATGCTTTCATGCCTTTCTAAATCTCATGTTGGTTTTGCTCTCTGTTGTGATTTGACTGACCAATTGTTTTATCTAAGTCTAAAAACATTTGATGTTGGTGGCCTTAGTCTAAGGCCTGTTTAAATCAGTGGAAAGACTCATTCAAATGCACTCTAGATCTTGACCTCTTTGAAAGCTGTTGTGTGAAATGCAACTGTATTGCACAGCTCAATACTGCAAAGGTTGCCAATATTTCCTTAATTTTTAACTTCTTTTTCTCATAGGTGGTACATCTGGCTCGAAACCTCATATACTTTGGCTTTTATAGTTTTAGTGAGCTTCTCAGACTGACCCGGACATTGCTGGCAATTCTAGATATTGTTCAAGTTCCCATATCATCATACTTCGAGAGGTTGAGCAAGTTTCAGGATGGAGGTGAGAGAAGCAGAAAAGACTGTTATTCTAGTGTGTAATCCATTATGCAGGTTGGAAATAATTTATGGAACGTGTCATTCATCTTTTAAGGTTCTTTATTTACATGCAAACCCATCTACAGGAATATATTGCAGGATACGTTAAGATGATTGACTGAAAAGGAACCTGTGTGAACAGAGCTGCAGACTTCATGAAGTGGTTGTTTTTGTTGGTGGTGCTGTTCTTTTCTTGTTTGGAACTGAACTTTCAAATCTGGTTCTAAGCCTCAGAGTCCCTTGTGCTGAATATCCTAAACAAGTGCAGATGGCATTTGCCTGGACACAGCAATTATGATCGTTTATATGTGGCACAAGAATTTATTAGTTGTCTTAGGGCTTCTCTTAGAGTGAGAGTAAGATGTTACTGGTCCCACAGCTGCAGAAACACCAGATGGAAGTCTAGAGGAAGCCATCCTCTGCATGTGTTTATAATGTTCTTTTTTTAACCTGGAGTAGTGTGCCTGTCTGATAATCCCAGGACAATATTGTGTGTCCCACTGCCTTTTCTACCATGGCTTAAAACTGAGTTGAACAACGAACATGCCAGGAAGGTGCTGAGATTTAACAGTTTAGTTTTCCTGTGTTTGTGGAAGGGAGGTGTGACAGTCATGTGGGCTTTGAGAGTCCCGGAGATTTGGTGACGACAAATTCTCTTTTAATATGTGTCCAGTGTAAGTTGTCATTGCACTGCCAGCTGGCCCACAGCACCAAAAATGTTTTGTTTGAAACAACAATTATTTTGTGTTTTCTCTAGGAGGCCTTATCCCAGCCTTGAGTTTTCCTTAGCATAATTGTGCCCTGCGTGCATGTGCCATCTTTCAGAGTTTTTTTCTCTTTTGAGGTTCAGGCAATCTGGAGAAGTGTAGACTGTCATTGTAATCTCTGAGCCAAGAAATCATGTGCTTGGTTCTCTTGATCTTTTGTCCATCACTGCCAGTACATTTTACTGAGAGCTGCTGAAAAGTCTTCCCTGCAATGCTGTGCACACTAGGGCATGCTATAGCTGACTGCAGTCCTTCTATAGAGCTAGGGGAAGACCATATGTTCAGACACAGTTTGACTAGATAAAATCTCGGTGTATTGGCAAGATGGAAAATGCAAACGTGGTTCTTCTGTTTAGTTCTCTCTGTACTCAGGTCTTTAATCATGGTTATACATCTCATTCAATGATACCTTCATTACTTTTATTAAAATTGTGCTTCATCCTTAATTACCTTTTATTTCTGTGGAAGAGTTTCCTTTCAGGCTATATAGGAGAGGAAAGAACTACCCATTAAATGCAAACAGACCTGCTCTCAATTATACTCATTTCCAGAGCAGTTCCATGCAAGTCAGTGGATTTACTCTGAAATAAATGGGTGTGAAGGAGTGCAGAAAAATGTCACCACCATGCAAATGGAAGTTCAGTAGCCTGCTTGATAACACTCAACCACTGACTGGAGCCTGGTTGGAAACTTTTGTAACACATCTGTTTTTGTGACACATTCTTTCAGCCAAAAAGGCATGGAACAAAGGTGGGATTTTTGTGTGTCTTTGATTAGCTTTGACCTTTATACAGATTCTTTAAGCTTCTTTCTTGACTGTAGCTGTCTCCATAGATGTTTATCTTTTGAACACTGGACCAGTTCAGGTCAGGATGTGAAAATCCACTGATATTCTTTTGGAAATGATTTGCGAGTTGTTGTTTGATCTGTTGTGTTTTTTTTTCTTCCCCTTTCCTGCAAGCTATATGGCTTGAGAGAGGGTTTTTTTTGCCAGATCAGACTGTTGTCAGTCATGTGTGCTATCTGAAGGGAGACCAGGGATAGAGATATTGGCTGTGGTGTCTAGGCTTAAAAACAGGCACTGATTTTTTTCTCCAGAGACACAGATGTTGTTATATTTAAATAGTGTAAGATTTGCTGGAAAGGTCTTCTATAGCCTTTGACAAACGAAAAGGATGGCTGTCTTTGGATGGTCATATCTTATCTTTAGCCTCCCTCTTCTTTACTGATTAACAGGTCATAAACCATATAAACTATACATTCACTTTTCAGTAGAGACAGAATGATTTTCAATGTTTAACTGCCATGGCCAAGCATCTTACCATTCTTCCTTTCTCTGGAGGTGCATGTGTACTCACCCAGGGCAGCATTAGGCTATGAAGATGCGTGTGTCACAAGGAAGCATAATTTAGAAACAGTTTAAGCAGCTTTGTAATTCCAATTCACTATTTTTAAGCACTCAGCTCATAGAACTTTGTGCCCAAGGAACAGATTTCATTTCTGAAAAACATTACTTAAGTGAAACAAGGGACTACTTTTCATTATGAAAAACTGCACAAAACCCATCAGCATTACCTTTAGTTGCAGACCAAGATTAGAGAGGGAGCTCAAGAAGAAAGCACCAGGTGCTGTACTTGCTGACATTCTGGAGACCACTGCTGTGGCTGAAATGTCAACTGTTTGGAATTTCTGTCTGTCTTCGTTTCATGTGGAAACCTGCTGGTGAGGAATGAATCAGACTATAGGGACAGGAGTTTGGCTGGCGTAAGTTGCTCTAGTTCCTGGGGCTTTGAGAGTTTGTGCCAGTTGAGTATTTGGCTCTACTCTTTTTCCTTTTTTTCTCCTGTCTGTTGTTTTTTTTAAACTTGTTGGATAGCAGTCCTTTAAAACCCACTCTGTGGTTGTCCTGCACCCCCATCCTGATTGTATCTTTGCTACAAGGTAATGAGGTTTGAATGAGGCCCTTAACACACAGAGCCTTTGACCTGCTTGTGTGCTCTCTGTCTTTCTAGGTATCACGTAGCTGTAGCTGAGGTGCATTGTGTCCACATCGAGCTGGAAAGAGCTGAGCTCAGGGGATTTGCTGGCTAGTGATGTAGTGTTTTTGACTGCTTTTGTGTCCATTTTTTTTCACACTTCATAAGCTGTGCTTGAGCACACAGTAAGGTGGGGACAGTGCTTGTGTTTTCTGAGTGGTGGTGCTGGGCTGGAATTTGTCCTTCTGCATGTGTTGGACTGTAGATGGTGCTAAGGATAAGTGAGTCCTGACTTGAGATTGGGTTAAGCCTGTGTTTGACAAGGAAACCTGGCTGTATTAGGCTTGCTGGATGAGATGATCATGTGTCTTAATGATGTTCTTGTACTTTTTTTATCTCCTGGGGGCAGGGGAAAGACCAGGGATGCTTTGCTTCTTGTGCATCTATTTCTACCCAAATGAGTTTGACTGCAAAAGTACTGATGTTACCTAGGTCCTGTAAAGTCTGGATCCATTGTATCCAGGATCCTTTAGGGATCCTAGGGAATGAATAAGCCAAAAGAAAAATTGGTCTTAAGAATTTCTTCTAGATCCCTCCTCACTCTGACAGCAATAATTGTTCACGAGGCAAAACCATAGGTATACATTGTTTTTCAATTTTATAGCACTGACAAGATTGTACATCAAAAGTTCCCTTTCCCCTTTTACATAGATATCACAGAATCATGGAATCTCTTAAGTTGTTATGAGATACATGTTATGAGCTGTTGTGAGTCTCTGTTATGAGTGGTTGAGAACACGTTAGTTTTTCTATCAGTTACCTGTCTTGGCTTTTTATTGTCCCTTTTAACTTAACTGGTCTCTTAGGCTGTTCAGTAAAAATTATTACAATAGAAAGTAACTCAGCCTGGCTTTTTGTGGTTTTTGAAAATATGTTGCCATTTGCTAAAATCAGGACAATCTATTGATTTTTTTCATAACGTGTTTTCCTATGCATAACTTCCATAAAATACAGACAGATGGATTGTTCCCTACCCTTGTTCAGGATGGTGGGAGTCCTCCAGTCAGTCAGTTAGGGGAGAGGGTGACTTCTTCCTGCCTTGAGAGGACATCAGATTCTGCTCTCCTTTGTTCACTAGGGCATGTAACAACAGGACACTAGGTAATGGTTTTCAGCTAGAAAAGGGTAGATTTAGGTGGACATTAGGAAAAAGTTATTTAATATGAGGGTGGTGGATCACTGGAATGGGTTGACTAGAGAGGTGGTGAAGGCCCCATCTCTGGGGACATTCAAGGTCAGGCTTGATGGGGCTCTGAGAAATCTGGTCTAGTTGGAGATGTCCCTGCTTATTGTAGGGGGGTTGGACTAGATGGCCTTTATAGGTCCCTTCCAACCCAGTACATTCTGTGATTCTATGATTGTGTGTCTCTCCAGACTGTGACAAGGGTGTTGCTACACGACATCCTCTCCGGCAGGTCCAATACTTGCAACACTCATATCATACCTTTGAATGCAGAGTACTGCAGGTAGGTGTCCCTCCAACACACTGTTGCTCTAGGGATGTGCAGGTTTACGCAGCTTCTTGCTTAAGCTTCCCTGAATCGCAAGACTCATTACACTGATGTTCTTGTGTACATACTGGGAATATAGAGAAGTAAATTATTAGTTTTGAAGGTTATAGCAGTTGTGGGCTTTTTTTTTTTTGTTTTTTTGATCATGAATTTCTAGGCATTAGCTTTAATTCAGTAAGAACGTGTATTTCATACTTTTGAGCTTAGAACTTTGACGTGTAGCTCTAAAAACCAGCTTTGACAAACACTGAAAGCCAGCCATGGTGCCTGGGACTGATGGTTTGATGGTACAAACAAATGTGTTTGCATTTAATAAAACACTAGGGGCCTGATCCTGTAACTCTAATGTAGGAAAGTGTTACTGATACCAGCATGGGCTTTGCATATTTTTATCACTATCTTATTGTAAATTTACAAAGATAATATTAAATGGATATTTAGCAGCAATATTTTGTCAATAATTACATCTATTCAGAAATGCAGTTGATTTTTAGTTTCTAGGACAAGTGACTTGAGAAAGAGGTTTGACCAAATGGAAAACTCATGTAATTCCTATTCTACAGTTGTAGTAGATCCAAGGTGGCAGGTCTGTAGATGTCAAGAATTTTGGGTAGAATCTATTTATTTTACATTCTAGGTCTTGCGTTTTAC